AGGAGACAAACAATGATGAGCTCCGTGCCAACCTAGACCTGGTGAAAGAAGTATGAGACCTGGCATACATCCGGATTGCAGCTTACCAGCAGAAAGTAGCTTAGTACTATAATGCCCTGGTCAAGAAGCGACACTTCCGTGTTGGCGACCTGGTTCTTCCGAAGGTTATGGTACCTGAGCCCGGTGTTGGTAAGCTCGGACCAAACTGGGAAGGTCCGTACCGAATAAGACGGGTATTTGGGGAAGGTACGTACGAACTCAAGACCTTGGAAGGGAAACAAATACCTCGAGCGTGGAACGTCGGCAACCTGAGAAGATACTATTCGTGATCACCGAACTGGGAAGAGGACTTTGAGTCACTCCCAGAAGCCCAAGGGCCATAATGTCGAGTTGACATATGACCTCGACACTACGAATAAGTCCCAATCGCCTCTTCGGCATGGGCAAACAAGTCCCAGTCGCCTCTTTGGTATGGGCAGACAAGTCCTAGTCGCCTCTTCGGCATAGGCAAGCAAGTCCTAGTCGCCTCTTCGGCATGGGCAAACAAGTCCCAATCACCTCTTCGGCATGGGCAGACAAATCCTAGTCGCCTCTTTGGCATAGGCAGACAAGTCCTAGTTGCCTCTTCAGCATAGGCAAATCAGCCATCATGCCTAAGGCATAGACAGTTCGGGTATAAACCGTACGACATCTAGCCCAGTTCGACATATAATAACAAGTTGGACCCACTAGCTCTAAGGGACAACCGACATCTAAGCAAGTAGCCCGTGCGCAGACAGGTCAAGTATATCCCCTACAATGTCCGCTCACCTCGACATACATTATGCGAAGTTACCCCTACTCCTAGTCTAGCACGTTAGCACGGCAGTTCGGGGTAACGTACACGGAAAAATTTTATTTCGGTTATCCCTACTTATAGTCTAGCTCGGTAGCTCGACAGTTCGGGGTAACCTACACATTTCTACTCCTACTCGGTTTAGTTCGTTAGTTCGAGAATTACTTACACTTGGAACATTTTTGGACAAAGATAAGTCAAAAAGTGTATTTCATTGATATAAAACTTCGAGTACAAGAGGAAAAAAGAAGGAATTCACTATATACCGAGCTCAGAGGCCCGGGGTATACAATATAGGAGATAATAAGCCTCTATTCATCTCAGTGCTCTTCGCCCTTGTCTGAGGCTTCAGTAGGAGGGTCCATACACTCATTAGCACCGGTCTCCTCGATGTCACCGAGCAGCTCGTTGTCACTTTCCGCGTCGGAGTCCGGATCTTCAACAGCTTTGGCAGCCATCTCCTCTGTGACCCTCGAAGTAGTAATAGCACTAAGGTCAAGCTGAGGGAATTCACATCGGGTCAGCCACCTACTAAGCTTGAAGACTTTGCGGTAGCTCTCCATTCCCACCTCGATCATTTCCCTCTGGTACTCCACTGAAGTCTTGTATTCTTCGATGGCCTTGACCTTGGCCTCCTCCACTGCTTGAAGGAGTATCTTAGTCCGCTCCTTTACATGAGCCTCGAGATTCTCCACCTCCCACTTCAGCACCGGTTTTTGCCCCGCGAGCTCCTCCTTGGACATTAGCAGTGTGATTAACTCCTTTTTAGCCCGCACATCCTTCTTTAACTGGTTAACTTCATTGTGGGCCAAATTTAGCTTGGCGTGAGCCTCACGAGAAGAAGACTCAGCTGCAAGAACTCGCTTTAGGTGCACCTCGGACTGGTAAGTCAGGGCATGTATAGCGGAGTTCACCTACCAAGAGAAAAGAACAAGATTTAGTACAAGAGAAGTTAAATACAAAATTGAAGAAGTCAAGACAGAAAACTTACCACCATGCAATAGGTAGCTGCTTGTGCTCCGAGCTGAGTGACCGGCAGCTCGGCCCAGCTAGCAACCTCCTCGGCGTATACTGCACTTTGGCTCTTGAGAAGGCCATATTTCGGAATCAGAATGCTCTGAGCTGCTTCATCGCTACCTAAATAAGCGGCAGCTGCATGGGCAGACTCCGAAGACGTTGCCTCCACGGGCGTGCGGGGCGGGGAGACCTTCCCGAATTCCTCCTCGACCAGATCGATTACGAGAGGTTGCTCGGTGGATAAGGGTTGCTCGGGCTCTGCAACGGTAGCCTGCGGAGACTCAATACGAGCTCTTAGGAAGCTTGCTTCTTCTTTCCTTTCTTCATGCTACCGAAGAGTTCGGTCGCAGGGATTTTCATGGTTGCTACAACAAAAGCAAACGATCAAAAACAGCACCAAATAAAACAAAGACAACACAACAAGTGACGACCTACCAGGACTTAGACCGGCCTGCACGAGCTTGTTTTCGGTCATGTAGTCCATGACCTTGAGACCGAGCTCCGTCCAAGATTAGAGCGCTTCCCTTGTCTTCACGTCCAACCTGACACCGGGATCTTGGATGGCCGCCCTCCAGTGGGTCGAGAAAGGCCACCCCTCAGTTTTACGAACCACGAAGTAACGCCTTTTCCAGGTTAGGACCTTATTTGGGAGCTCGTGCAAGAGTTTATAGCCCGGACGAGGGGAGAGGTAGTAAGTTCGCCTGTGTTCAGGCAAAACACAGGAGTTAATGGAAGAAAAGATATCAAGGTCAAGAGGAAGGTTATAGTCGTGGAAGAGGGAGATGGTTCCTACTACATTACGAATGGAGTTCGGGTGCAGCTGATCTATGGTAATGTTAAAAAGTTTTATGACTTCGACAATCAAGGGATGAAGTGGAAGATGAAGACCAGTTACGAGCTACTCCTCGAAGATCACGATCTCGTCGTGACCGTGCTCCCAAGGAAAGTTGCTTAGAAGCCTATACCGAGCTACTAGGGACAGGAGCCTGTCCGCCGTCATTGTCGACGGGCCAAAGTTATCTGGCTACCGACCTTGATGCGAGGTGGACGCCAGATCACCTGAAGCCTCTCGTGCCTCCCGGGGTGATTCCACCTTAGGAGGATCGCAAACTGCAACTTAACCCGAAGTAGCTTCTTCAGTATGGCGATCTACGACCTGAGCTGAGGTACCTACCTCGGCCCCAACGGATCCACCGCTCCCATCTAAAAGACTATCGAAACTAAAGCTAGACATGGAAAAGACACGGAATCGAAAAGGAGAGCTAGGGAAGACTCACCAACGAGAGACCGAACTGAAGGAAGATGACCCCAGGAAGACACCGAACTGAAGAGACCGAGCTAAGGAGCTTGAACGCGACCTCAGATCGAAGGCTAGTGAATTTGTGGCGAAGCAAATGAGTCTTGGGCCCCCTATTTATAGCCGTTGTGTCCGAGAATCAACGGTCGAGATTGAAGTGATCCAACGGCTCTTAGGAAAACCGGCTGCGTGACCCCCGAGGTTGAAATCGGTTTATCGCGTGTTTTGACGTCCGTAGAGTTTATAGATCGCGTGACGTCCGCGCGTAGACTAGACGCGACCTGGGTTATTCCTGGTTGAGTCGGGTGGCTGAACAGGTCCGACCAGCGATTCGCCCGGCATGCCGCCTGGACCTCGGGCCAAATCCACTTGGACTCGTCATGAACTCCCTGCTGGGATCACGATAAGCACTTATCCTCACTCTGCCAGAATCGGAGGAGGAACAAGATAAGTCTTACCTGTATGTTGTTCCTTCGGAAGCGGGCGAACTCCATCTCCACATCCCAGATATCTCAAAACTCTTTTGTGTGCCCCACGAATACTCAACTATATAAAGGCTCCAACCCCGATGGCATGAGGTACGCATGATTTCTCTGCTCTCTAGCTTTCTACATTCTCAAAGCTATTTCAGCTTACAAACAGCTTACTAACTTAAGCATCGGAGTGACCTCGCCGAACTAGCCACCCCGGATTCTCTGATCTTATTTTACAGATTTACTTAACTCGTCGTCTGACTGAAAGCCAGATCATCCTCCGGCAGGCGCAACATCACCCACCTTGAAAAAGTTGAAAATGTTCACTCCAATGATGCGCAACTGCAGGTTACCCACTATCTTTTTACATCCTTACCCAACCCAATTATGGTAATACCTCCTTACCCACTTACTTTTATTAGTGAACGGAACGGCGGAACGCACCTTTCTTCTCCCCACCTTCTACGAAATTTTCCTCCCATATTTTGAATGCAACTGCGCCGTGCGCACTTACTCTCAGTCTCGGATTTCGGAAGGAAGCTTCTTTGCAACTACCACACGTACCTCTCCATATGGTCATATCCCATCGGATCGTCGTCAATTTGTCATGTTATTACGAAGTTGCCACTGGATTATCATATTTGCCTCCTCTAAAGAGAGAAAGATTATTATTATTATTATTATTATTATTAAAACAACTACCAACATCATCTACTCCTGCTGCCGCTTTAATGTTATGTAACCTGAATGGAATCAGTCTTAGGACTCCTCTTGCCATTACGGGCACGTATTCGAGGTCGAGATTATGCTTTGCTGTCTAATAATTCAAGGCCCATTTTACAACATCAAAAATGTTAAGTGACAATAAGCCCTCAAATTTCGGGGCTCGGCCCACTCCGAAAGTTATATACACATATGAATTAAATTAAAATTTTAATTTGTAGAAACCATTGTTTCATGGATTAACATGGGCAAGCCCGGATGCCCGTCCCGATCCACGATCATCCCCATCCACATGCCACCACCACCACCAGGCGACCACGGCCACCATGTTTAATTGGAAGTTGGAAACGAAAACAATTCATTTTTTTCGATAATAAAAACAGTTGGATTGGAGCCGCGCGCCCATGAAAAATGATAATGATATATTTTTTTGCTCATAATTCATAATTATAGAAATTTTAAAAAATGATTCTCAAAAAAAAAAAAGAGAGGTGTAACTGCAAATTTGTTCAGTATAGGGGGGTAGAACTGGGAGCTCGCTCGGAGGTTAACCCAACTTTTGTTTTGGTCCCGGATACTAAAGGGAGCTTCTGCCTTGCTTCACCAGGACTAAAGCAGACTTAAATTATTGTCTTCGACTATATATATTACGTGTGAATTCTGGTGAGAGGGAGAGAGACAGAGAGGTCCGTAGTCTGAGCCTGAGAGAAGCTAAGGAATAACTCAGAGTACGCAGGATAGCAAGGAGAAAGTCGGCCGGGAGAGTAGAGATATTAGGTATGGCAGGAATGCTTCCAGGGGTGGAATTGGCCAGAAGGCGAAGGGTATATCACCATCATCAATACAACGACTCTAATTCTCGAGATCACCCCTCTCTCCTAAGAGATCGCCTTCAACCTTCATCGCCCTCCGATTTGGACGAAGCAGCTCTCAAGGCCCGCAGAAGACTCGAGGAGAAGCTCGGCCTCGGCCGCCTCCGTTCCAGGTTTTCCTCTCTCTCTCTCCCCCTTCTTCATTTTGCCCTTCCCTTTTCATTCCTTTTCCATATCTACAGTGATGACCGCTTTGCTGAACTTCTGCTGTCAATTGTCATCGGAGGTGGATCCGAGCTACCGTCCGATGTTATCCTGTGTTGGACCCAAAATCATGACAGATGACACTATAAATTCCTTTTTTCACTTATTTCCTCTTCTCTTTGAAAAATAAAAGGAGCACTGGCGCCACGCCACGCACGCATCTCCGCCGTTGAGGCCGGATTGTCCGATGAGGGTTCCACACCCTTAGCTGTCGGATCGGGATGAATGCATCGCGTCATGCCCGTGCCGCCTCGGTGTTCTCCTAGAATAAAATTGAAATCTGACAGTGCTTGCTTCCGCCTGTGTCAGGGTTATTCCCTGTAGAGTTGCAATTTGGAAATGGATCAGATGTATCAGATATAATAACTAGATTTCAGTTTGATTTATTATCCGGATTTGATTGATATTTGATGATAAATTAAAAATCTTATATGTCGACAAGCGTCCAAACCAAGAGAGTTTCCTCCGAGGAAATCAGCATGGTTGGATGAGTTATTAAGCATTACCAGTTCTATACACTAATGCTTCTCCCTGCCAATATCAGATCGTCTAAACAAAAACCCAATGAAGGTAGAAGCTCCAACCAACCGGTTCGTGCCAAAGAGTCGCAGTCTCTGATGGGTGTGACAAAGCTAGAGAAACTGTGGCTTCCAAAGCTCGGGCGAAGGAATTCGGAGGGAGATGTGTGTGCTGTTTGTTTAGATGGGTTTCAGAATCAGCAACAAGTGATGAATCTGCCCTGCTCCCATAGATATCACTCGGACTGCCTTATCCCATGGCTTACTACTCATTCACATTGCCCCTACTGTCGGACCCATGTTCAGTCCTGACGATATACATATTGTAACATTACTTTTAAGCTTTATTTTTCTGTCGCCATTTTTGTTCATGTAAAGCTTTTGTGGCTCTTTTGTCTTTACTTTCCCTTCGCTGTTACTTTCTTCCAGGATGATTAGTGAGTTTGGTGATTCATTTCCACAACTCAATACAAGTGTTGCATAACATGCCCAAAATGCAAGATTACATGACTAGCTTATTGGTCATGCTAGCTTACAACCGCAGCTGTTCTGTTAACTGTAATGCTGGAATGACCTGATCCTTTAAAGGAAGTACACGTGGCAATTTATTTGGGTCCCAGACTGCATCGTGTCACATGGATGCTATCGTTTTGATTGTCTAGAGTAGGGCTACACATCGTGTGAATTAATAACCACATGATATATGCATTTGAATTAAGTTTTATGATCTACATAAAAATCGAGGCAAAAAAATAATGTATAAGGGCAGCACCTCTTCATATAAAAAGTAAAGATATAAAAGATATAAGTTTACATTTTATTATTAAATTTAATTTTTATAATCTATACTAAAATCAAGACAAATATTTATATTATATATTATTAGTGGAGCTATGTATGTGTGTGCCGTTAATCATCAATCATATATTAGTATTTGGATTAAATTTTATGACCAGCAGGTATAGATAGATATCACTTCTGTTATTGGTGTTTAAGCTCTAGTATTCTTTGGAAGTTATAACGAGTACTAAGAGAGAAATATGCCTAACAGGACCTGTATATTGGAAGGTTTAAATCCTTTCTAGCTTCCTAAACCTTATTGAAAGTCTTATCTGTCCGACTCCTCCCATTCTAGTAATTCAAGTGTTAAACATTATGACCAAGTAAAAATCCAAGGTTATGTTTGGTTTGATAGAGAATAAGAGAGGCAAAAGAAAATTGAGGTAAAGTCCTTAGTAATTTTTGTGAAATTTCTAAAGGACTTCTTTCTCAACTTAATATTGCCTTGGCCTGAAATTTAGATGTGACCCTTAACCTAAAAGTTAGGTGGTGTTTAATAAATCTAAAAAGTTAAAAAGATATTAAAAGTGTTTGAAATCTGAAAAGAGACATAATTGCTTTTCTACTTTTTAAAGGATTTGAATCCATAAGTTTGTTTGTGTTGAATCAACCCTTTACCATTTGAAATTTATTGATTTTATTATTTTACCCCTAGAACATATTATTTGAAAATGTTGAGTTTGATTTACATTATCTCATAAAAAATAATAAATAATATTGAAATAATACAAATAATAAATTATTAATTAATAAATGAAACAATTAAAATTTAAAAATAATTAATGACTATAAAAATATTAAAATAATTTATAATTTATAATTTATACAAATAAAATTTAAAATAATTTTTAAAATTTAATAAAATAATAAAAAATTATTAGTTAATAAAAATATTTAATAAATAACACAAGTAAATTTAATAATAATTAATTAATGTTTAATAAAAATAATAAAATAATTAATAATTAATAAAAAATTGCGGTGGAAGAGAGAGAGAGAGAGAGCGAGAGAGAAAATAGGGGGAGAGAGTTGTCGCTGCAAGTTGCAGCGGCAATGGCGATGGTGGGAAGACGAGAGGGAGGGAGGGAGAGAGAGCGAGGGCAAGAAGACAAGGGGAGAGAGAGAGAGAGCTGCCGTTGCAACTTGTAGCGGTAGTGGCGGAAGACAAGGCAGAGAGAGAGAGAGAAAGAGAGAGAACCGCCGTGGCAGTGGCAGAAGACAGGGCGGGGAGAGAGATCGAGAGAGTGAGAGAACCGCCGTGGCGGTGGCAGAAGATAGGGCGGAGAAAGAGAGATTGAGAGAACGAGAGAAGAACCACCGTTGCGGCTGCGGTGGCGGAAGACAGGGCGGAGAGAGAGCGAGAGCGAGAGAGAAGAACCATCGCCACTGGAGAGAGTGCAGCGGCGGTGGTGGTTGTGGAGCTTCAGCAGCGGTGGTGGCAGTGGAGCTTGTTCAGTTCACAGTGAGTGTTCGATTGGACTTACATGAAAGGACAAAATATGTAATATTAAAATTTCTTTAAGGGTATTTATGTCTTTTATGCACCTCTGAATTAGGTCTAAGCACATTAAGCAGCTTATCCACCTCTAAGAAATTAAGATATGAAATCCAATTTCAGATCTGTAATAAGAGGTAATAACAAACATTCATAAAAAAAAATAAGAGGTAATAACAAACAAAGCAAGGTGTCTGAAAAGCAAACTTTTTAGATTCAGACATCTAAAAAGTGCAATCAAATGGCACCTTAGTTATATATATGTAGCTGATTCTAGGGAGATACAAGGACTTGTTTTTTTCTTTTGCTAATTATAAGGTGCAATCAACTTAAGTGGAACAATTTCATCGGCAATAGTATTTGATATGGCTAGAACTGATTAACAATTGGGACCGGACACATGGCAGCAATCCTTGATTTGCACGTGTCAATAAGTACCTTAGTTTCAGAACCTCCTCCTTCACCTCGGTCTGATAATTTCCTCAAGTGCTATGCCAATAGAGTTCACATCTACGTCCCACAGAGCTTGTCTTAAAAATGCCCCATATGCACATCTCAGTATGCACTGAAAATATCCTATTTTTATCATTGGAAGATGTTCCCAGTATACGTTGGGATATGCTATGAAACGTTCTTGGGGCACACTGTGGGGTGCATATGTGAATTCATGACAATAAGATCACCCTAATAACTTTGGGGTATGATAGCTTGGTGGCAAGGGCATTGCAACAAGAGAATAAGTGGCATCGACTAGAACACCACCACCTAGGGGCACTACTGCCCCACATACCTACTAATCAACATGTAAGATTGATGGTGGGCCCGATGCTCTACCACGTAGAGTTCAAATCATCCCCCCACAAGAGTGCCCCCCACAAAGTCCCACAGCACATCCCTATCGTGTACTGGGAACATCTCCCGGTGATGATTTAATGTGAGTAACCAGGCCACCAATAGAAAGGTATGCATTTACTCCATTACCCATCAAATTTTAGCACATTACTACCTTGCACATCTCACATTCACTCCCTCCACTATTCTAGACTTGTTTGACTTGACCGTTTAAATCCTCACCTTGGGATATCACCTCGAGGCATTTCACAAATTTGTTGTTGTAAGGAACGCATGGTTTTCAAAACCGGACCGGACCGAAAAACTGGGAACACCGGTTCCATTTTTCCCCAAAACCGGATTTTTTCCAAAATAAACGTTGATTTGGTTAGCAAACCGCTGACCCAGACAGTTGAACCGTTAAAACCATTCAATGGTTTTGACCATTTTTTTATTTTTTTTATTTTTTTGTCAAAATGGGTCGACCGTTCGACTCGGGAACCAGACCCCTGACCGGTTCATTGTCTGGGTTGGTTTTAAAAACCTTGAATGAACGACTTCATCCAAGGTGTGCGTTAGATCATCTTTCACTCATCGGTGACTTTTGAGCATCATTAGTATTTATTATTATTATGGAGATCGGCTTCAATCAGTGCAAGGCCTGTTCAAACACCATTTGAACAACCTTTACAGCCTTGCATTGGGAACATCTCCATACTTCTGTGCTTTATCTCATGGAGAGATATTCCCAATGAAAGACTATAATAGTTGTTCAAATGAACTTTGCACTGACTGAATTCGGTTTCATTGTTAATTTGTTATGAGCCTATAAAATCAAAGAAAACTTTGAAAAAATGCAAGCAAAAACGCATAAAGAAGATTGTCATGGTAGTACAAACCTGATTCTCTCTTTCAAGTCGCCAAGAATGGAGTTTCTCCTCCCATAAGCCCTAATTCTAACTAGAGGCTCTCATCTTTGGTTATAAGTGTGTAACGTGTCCCCTTAGAATACAAGACATGTGCACAACACTATCATTAGTCATGATTGGCATCACCTTTCAGAAGTAGCAATTTTTTTATTTGAAAGTTTTTTTTGGCAAAAAAAGAGAAGTATTATATTCATAAAGAGAATGATACACAATAGGAAAGCAGAGAGTTGTAAGGTAACTTGAGCTGGCCCTTACATGAAACATAACCAAAAAGATGGGCCATTTGGTTATATTGTCTATAGATATGCACAAAATATACAGATCCGAAAGAAGAAATTAATCTTTATATATCCAAAAGAAGAGATTAATCTTTTGAGGTGATTCATGTGCAACTGATCAATCCACTAAGATGCTCTGCTAGAGTTTGCAAAATTTACCAATGCTTCATTGTCCGAATATACCAAAAGACGAGTGATGTTGTTAGCTAGAGCTTCTTGCAGTCCTCTTAGAAGGGCTCAAACTTCAGCATCATAGCTGTTGACTGCCCAATAGGGCGATCCTTCTGAAATAGTGTACTATTGACTGGGGTGGCGGATGAAGAACCTTCGTCCTGCATTACCGAAAATTGGATCAAAAGAACCATCAAAGAATAAAGTGGGCATGTTACGTGTGGAGGGGTACCGAAGGCGTAGATTGGCTTGTGGTCGAGTTAGACACTCTTCCAAAGAAAAATGTAAGACTGTGTGGGCCACTTTTTTGGGGTCCGGTAACTCATTCTTGAATACACTTTTATTTTGAGCTTTCCATATATGATAACCAATAATGCTGAAATGGCCTAGGCTTGCCAGATGTTTTCCATAGTGAGTGTTTTAACTTGAGGAACCAATCAGCTAGAACTATGTGCATAAGTTGGGTAAGCATGGATGATGGAGTTAACCCAATTTGAGCCTCACACCATATTGCTCAAACAAAAGAGCATTGGAAGAAGAGGCGATGCTCTGATTCTTCATGGACCTTGCAGAAGGTATAGAGCCTATCCGGTTCGTTTAGCCAAGCAACATTTTTTTTTTTGGTGAGTAGTCCATCCCAAACAAACTTCTAGAGGAATATATGAAATCTATATGGTACCTTAAGCTGCCATATAAGCTTCCATAAAGAAGGTGATGGATAAGGAACACCCGAAAGAGGCAAAATACTTGTAGGCTGATTTAACAGTATAAAAACTTGTGGTATTACACTTCCAAATTAGAAGATCACCCGATTGGCTAGGCTCTGTAGTTATGCTTAAGATGTGATGAATTGTTGATTCATGGAAAAGTTGCTGTAATTTTGGAAGGGCCCAAGAACCCTCTGAATTTAACATATATGAAACCGTTAGGATTCTAGCATTAGAAAGATCAACCGAATCTTTCAGCTGAGGCACGTGGCCTAGCAGAGTGGGAATC